ACACCAAAGGCCGGCAGGTTTGCTACAGCCACTTCAGATTCCAGAATGGAAGTGGGAAGAAATCGGAATGGATTTCATTACGGGTTTGCCCAGGACATCATCGGGGCATGATTCTATTTGGGTAGTCGTTGATCGACTCACTAAAGTGGCTCACTTCATTCCGGTGCATACTACCTACTCAGGGAAGAAGTTAGCAGAGCTTTATTTGGCAAGAATCATGTGTCTACATGGTGTACCTAAGAAGATCGTGTCTGATCGAGGAAGCCAATTCACCTCAAAGTTCTGGCAGAAATTGCAAGAAGAATTGGGAACCCGTCTGAACTTCAGCACTGCTTACCATCCACAAACTGATGGCCAGACCGAGCGAGTTAATCAAATATTGGAGGATATGTTGAGAGCATGTGCCCTTGACTTTGGTGGAGCATGGGACAAAAGCTTGCCGTATACTGAGTTCTCCTACAACAACAGTTACCAGGCTAGTCTGCAGATGGCACCGTTTGAAGCACTGTATGGACGGAGGTGTCGTACTCCGCTCTTCTAGGATCAGACAGGGGAACACCAGTTGTTTGGTACAGAAGTTTTAAATGAGGCAGAAGAGAAAGTCAGAGCTGTCAGGGAAAGATTGAGAATCGCGCAATCTCGACAAAGAAGCTATGCAGACAACCGCCGAAGGGAGCTCGTTTTCCAAGCAGGGGATTATGTGTATCTCCGTGTCACTCCGCTCAGGGGAGTACACCGCTTCCAAACCAAAGGAAAGTTGGCACCACGCTTTGTGGGACCATATCGGATTTTGGAACGCAGGGGTGAAGTTGCTTACCAGCTTGAGCTTCCCTCCAACATGCTTGGCATCCACAATGTGTTCCACGTCTCTCAGTTGAAGAAATGTTTGAGAGTTCCTGAGGAACAGGCAAGTCCGGATCAAATCGAAATCCAAGAAGACTTGACGTATGCGGAGAAGCCGACTCGTATCCTCGAAACCAGCGAGAGAAGGACTAGAAACAAAGTAATCAGATTCTGCAAGGTTCAGTGGAGTCATCACTCAGAAGAAGAGGCCACCTGGGAAAGAGAAGATGAGTTGAAGGCCGCCCATCCGCACCTCTTCGCCAGCTCTTCCGAATCTCGGGGTCGAGATTCCGTTTAAGGGGGGTAGGTTTGTCACGCCCTAAAGTTTCCCCCTCTCCTTGCTTTAAAAATTGGCTAAATAAATTGCTCGAAGAAATTATCTTAATTAACCTAGAGCTAAATCCCTAATTAATAAAGGCATTTAATAATTGGAATTGGCAATGTGGGATTTTCCTTGAGTTCAACATGTCACAATACATTAACAGGATTTTTAGTGGAATTTTCAGAGCCTTGGAAATAATTTTAACCAATTAAAAATCACCAAAGTGCAATTTTTAATCCTAGGAAAATCCTTTTTCTCTTTTTCTTTTCTTTTCCCTCTTTTTTTCTTTGTTGGGCCGTCGGCCCATCCCTCTCCCGCGGCCCCTCCTCCTTGTGGGCCGGCCCAAGCCGCCCCTCCCTCCTCTCTCGGGACGCCGACAGGTGGGCCCCACCTGTCGGTCGTCTCCTACCTCCGGGAACCGCCGCTGCCGTCGAAACCGCCCACGCCGCCGCCGCCGTTTCCCGCCGTTCTCCGAGCCCCACTCCGCCCGTGCCGCGCGCCCACGTCGCTGCCCCACTCCTCCGCCCTCCCCGTCCGCACGCACGAAGTGGGCAGGATTCATTTTGAATCCCACCCCACTCTCTTTCTCTCCTCTCCACGTCGCCGGCGGTTTCAGCCATCTCCCCGGCCACATCCGCCCCTCCCTCGCCCATAAAAACCCTCCCCCGAGTCCCCTCCCTCGTTTCCCCCATTTGCCGTCCTCTCCCACGCCCCCAACCGCGCCCGCGCCGTCACACCCGAGCTTCGCCGCTTGCCGCCGCCTTCGGCCGCGCGCCGCCGCCACCGTTAGCTTCGCCGCCGCAAGAGCTTTCCCGGCCGCCGCCTCGCGTCGCCGGAATCCCACCGGAGCGCCTCTCCCCTCGCGAGCCGGTGAGTTTTTTCCCTCCCCTCCATCTCCGGCTGGCAATGGTAGCCGCCGTGGTCGTCGTCTCCTCTCCTAACCCCCTCTCCGCTCCCTCCCAGGTGTCGCCGCCGCTCGTCCGCGCCTCGGCATCGTCGGTCGTCATCGCCACCCTTGTTTTCCGCACTGGTCGCCGCCGCCCCTCTGGTGAGGACTCCCTCTCCCTCCCTTTTCTCCCCTTCCCGCGTGCGCCGCCGCCTTTGGCCGTGCCGCCGCTTCGGCCGTCCGCCGCCGCCTCCCTCCGCCGGTCGTCGCCGTCGGCAGCCGCGCACGCCACCGCCGGTCGCCATGGTCTCCGCTCGGCTTTGAAGCCGAGCTGAGCCAACCGGGTGCCACCCCCCTCTTCCCCCTTGAGCCATTGCCCGTGGGGCCCACATGCCGGCGCCCCCTCCCTCTCCCCTTGTGCCGCTGACATGCGGGCCCCGCCTGTCGGCGCAGCCCGCCCCCCCCTCACTGACGTCAGCCCTGGGTATTATTGCGCAAGAAAATAATTAAGGACTTTTTCTTTATTAGTAAAAACACAGTTTATCTTCTAAAATTCATAAGTAATTCACCTGAGCTCCGTTTAAGTCCATTCAAGTCTCAGTAAATTCATAAAAATGCAAAGAATCCATTAAAAATGGTTTTGTTTCCTGTTTCAGTAGTCTTATAGCATGTTTTGCTTGTGTGCTTTGTTTATCGCGTAGTTTTCGGCCGTTTCGTCGATCTGCGGTTTCTCGAAGACGTTGCTGAGGTCTCATCAGTGCGAGAGCAAGGCAAGTCATGCATTATAATTGATCATATTGTACCCAATTTACAAAGCATAAAATTGCAATGTATGTTTATGTTGGCAACTTTTTTTTGACAAGAAGAAAATTACGATCGGGACACCTAAAGCTTTGTGGTGATATGGAGTCGTCAACCACCCCGATCTAGCAAAAGCTAAATCAAGATGGGTTTTGTAGAAAAAAGCTAAATCGGCTAGCGGAGTAGATTTAGAGATCAAAATCAGACTCTAGACCGATTTAGATCGATATGAGGATAACTACCCGTCTCGTGGGCAAACGGAAGGTTTACGGGATAAACCTACAAAGGGGTATTGCACTCTCGTAGTGATCATGGGCGAATCGATAAAGATGGACTAAACTAGGGTAAAGTTGCAAACATTGTTGAAAAGTAAAGTTAAAAGAACGATTCAATAGATTGTAGGGACTGTGGTCTGTTTTGAATCGAACAGGCCTTAGCCCTTATAAAGGGGTTGGGTTGATCTAGCATTCTATAGGTCCTCCTCCATGTCTAGAGGACCACGTCCAACTAAGGGTAGAAAACAATGGAAACTCAAAAAATACATTTCCAAGCAAGGAAATCCGAGACCCGATGAAAATCAGCTCAGACTCGGACTCTACCGGTCTGGTCGAACACATGCCACCAGTCAAACCGGCCCTACACGCTGGTCAGACCAGCCCCGTGAAGGAAACCCGACGCCTTCCATATTTTGGCAGATTCCCTATTTCGACTCTAGGTGCCAAATTTGAGTGTAAAACACATGCCCCCACTGCCTTTTTGATGAACTTATGACTAAAAGCATAGAATATGTAGAATTAGGGCGATAATCTAATTACTGGCCATACGGGATTCCAAGTGCCTAGTAAATCGTTCTCTTTGTTTTTTCCTAACAAATCAACGATCTTCTAAGAACGATTCATACTACTCAGTACAGACATTCCCAACTAGATGATTACCCAAAAAGCACTTTACACTTAAACCCTGACGATAAAATGTCAAGTCCTTAATCTTGAAATGATTTCACTCTAATTATAAACTTTGGATATCCTCTCTTTTCATCTTTCAAGTACCTTCCAAAGTCTTCCAACATTTATCAGTCGTTTTATCATTATTATTCTATTGTAGTTGATAGTTGTTACTATTCAATAGTACATGGAGAGAATATTACTGCATAACTGAACTTGTTATATTGAGCGTCCGCTCTCGGGGATGATACATAGAGGTTATATGGGTAGAGATAAGGAAGGATCTTTCTTAGAGATATGAAGACTATGATACAAATCAATTCTATTCCAATATAATTCTAACTACCATATAATCTAACAGTGATAAATGAAGACAATAGAACCAACCAAACCATGAGATACACAAATATCCCTGGACCTCAATGGCCCTACCCTTTCACCACTTTGTACCGCCTTCCTCTAGTCCCTACGTTGACCTTAGAACCACTCGACTTTGGCTCGTGTCCTTATGTTATAATGTCAAACACATGGTTTTATAATGTTTTTAGACTGGTTTCATAATGTTATGCTTACTCAATAGTATGTTTTATATTTTGCATAGTTAAGCTATTGATATTCCAAAAATCTAATATAGTATTTGTTTTCGATTTTGAAGTGACTCTCTCTCATCATCTTAATTTGGTGTCGGGATATGGTGGATCCACCGCTTGGGCTCATCGGCGTTAATTACAAATAACCAGTGGAAATAGAAATGATGAAAATATTCCAATTGAGATTATAAAATGAGTGTGAACCAATTTTTATGATTTTATTCTTTTTAATTAGATTATTGTGGGAAATTATGTTTTTCTAATTAATGTGGTAATTTTAAGTTTTTTTTCATCCTTTCAATTAGTGTGGCAACTTCTATGAGGCCTACCGATTTGTACAAAGAAAGATTTCACTTGCCAAAAGAATTGGATTTCCTTTGAGATAAACGTTAATTTTCATAAAAATAATTGATTTCCCCATGCATCTTTCTAACCAGGGATGGACAAACATGGGTGTTGGGGGACTCGAGTCCCCCTACTCCGTTGCCCATTGGATCACCATTGATAAAAGAAGAGAGGGGAGGGGGGAAGAAGAGGGAGAGGAGAAAGAGTAGGGGGCTGAAGAAGGAAGAAGGAGACGAGTCCTCCCTCTAATCTTATCCTGGATCCACCCCTTTTCCAACCACATTATAATTAAAACATTAGTATACATCACTCGTATGCTAGTTTGATCAGCATACAATTATATTACAATATAAGATGTCGGTTAGTACTTCACAACCGACAAATTACTAGGCACATCAAATGTGCAAAAAGCCAAACATGGTATATAACAGTACATACTCACACTTTGTTGGATTCGATACCATGTTTTCACCTATATAGTGTTCACTGGAGAGGGTTATTTAGATTAAAATTAAATACACCATATAATTGATCAGAGCAAATTCTTAGCCTTGTCCACCACCACTTCCAGAGCCACCTCCTATTGCAGAACTTGTTGATCCAACCCCACTACCTCCTCCGCTTCCGCTACTACCAATCACGCTACCAGAACCCCCGCCGCCTCCCACTGCATTCCCAGCACGGCCAACTCCATTTCCTCCACCAAATCCACCTCCGCTACTTCCCGCACTTTCACCTCCACCAGCACCACCACCACCCCCTGTGCTTATACTCACTCCACCATGACCTATATGGACACCAACACCGCCACCTCCTCCTCCTCCTGCGTGCACGCCACCACCGTTAACCGCGGCACCTCCTCCCCCACCAATCCCCACATCCACCCCACCATGACCCACATCTATGCCAACACCTCCACCTGCCCCACCACCCACACTTGCGCCACCACCACGTGTAGTGCCGGCTCCACCTCCAAAGCCACCGCCTATACCAATTGATATGTCGTGACCTCCATGGCTAATACTCACACCAAAACCCCGCCCACCTCCTGCGCCATCGCCACCTTTGATGGAGAAGGCCTTGCTATCATTGAGGGTGTTTTTATCGGAAAGGAGGAGCCGCGCGTGCGCAAGAGGGAGAAGTGAGAAGCAGCACAATAGTATAACTGAGATGGCCAGTCTGCAGGGTGTGGAAGTAGCCATGGGGAACTGCCTGTATTATTATGCAATTGCACGTAGCTGATCCAAGGCACTACCACGGCTATATATATTCAGGAAAAGTGAGACTGAAGTGAGCTGTGCCGCACATTAGCCCTTGTCGAGAAATAAAGAGCACCACATGGCCAAGAAAACTGTTCGGTGTACTTGTTTAGCCTTATGAATCAAAGCTTATGATATATAAAAAGAGTAAAAACATGAAATTTTAAACATATATATATATATATATATACCATTATATTTCTGAGATTATAATTTCGTTGGCCAATCTCCATCATATTGGTGAAATTACAAAAAAAAAAATCCCATGACAAATTGACAGTAGATTAAAAACAGTAACAAGGGATGTACAAATTAAAGGGTTTAGCTTAAACTTTCATAAGCTATGCACGCTGGGTAGACTTGGCTTATAATTCGGTTTTGCTACAAAAAATAAGTGTCAACATATTCTTTTTACCTGATTTCAATTGTTTTTTTTCCCACCATCTGGTGCAAGTCTGATGGTATCTCCCTCATCTCATCCCTCTTGATTTATGTAGGTTTCCATTTTTACTTGTGTGTTACTCTCCTCTTCGTTATAAATATAAGGGATTCTGAGATCGTTAAACAATTTAAGCCAGATAGGAACACAATTTTGTACCCCTCAAAAGACAGTGGATAGGTTTTGATTAGTGCAAGAAACATGATTAAAGAAGGTTACCCGTGCAATTATTGATATCCATGAGTTAATATGTGGTGTACTACCTAGAATCTCTTATACGTGTGGGCAAAATTTGGCGGTAGCGTGTGTGTATTCGTAAGGGGTGTGTATGTGCGTACGTTTATGAGTGTTTGCGTTTGTTTTGTGTTTCTTATGAAAAAAAATTCAAACCTTAGAATCTTAATATTATATTTGTGGATGGAGGGAGTAAAATAAAAGCAAGCACTCGATTTTCCTTTTAAGGAAAGCGGGCGATCGACCATTTTAGTGACATTTCTCCTGTATGCAATGAGTACTCGAAATATTACGTTGTAAAACTGGAATTTAGAGAGTAAATATTGACAAATTTGACATTTTTTATTAGCATTATATCAACATAGATATTGAATATAGTAGCATATAAATAAGTTCCACTGGTGGAGAAACCATCTTTCGTCGGTCGGCCGATTTCCACAATAGTCCCGGATGCAATAAAAACCGGGGCTAAAGATGATCTTTAGTCCCGGTTCAAAAGGGTAACGGGCATATTTGATCTTTAGTCCCGGTTTGTGTTACCAACCGGGACTAAAGATCATCTTTAGTCCCGGTTCGAATGCTGTCAGGACCTGTCAGGCCCCCCCGGATCTTTAGTCCCGGTTGGTAGCACCAACCGGGACTAAAGATCTTAACTTTAGTCCCGGTTGGTATTACCAACCGGGACTAAAGATCCCGGTGATCTTTAGCCCCGGTTGGTGCTACCAACCGAGACTAAAGATCTTAACTTTAGTCCCGGTTGGTAATACCAACCGGGACTAATGATCCCGGTGATCTTTAGCCCCGGTTGGTGCTACCAACCGGGACTAAAGTCCCACCCCTATATATATGTCTTCTTCCTCCTCCAGCTGCCCGAGCAAGCTTCAAAATTTCTTCAAAAAAGAGGGGAGGTCATGCCAAAATTTCTATTGAATTTATTTTGGTGATTACATACAAATCGGAGGTGCCTAAAAGGTTTGCAACTTCATCCTCCAATGTTTTTTTTTGTCATACTACATTTGCACCTATGTTTTGCACACTTTTTTTTCTCCAAAATTTAGTTGTAAGTTGATGAGAGAGAAAATGTGTGTGGGGAAGAAAGAATATATAGAAATTTAGTTCATTTGCTAAACAAGGTTTTATAAAATAGTTGAGAAGGAAAACTCTAGTGAAAGTTAATATTAAATAATAGAAAACAAACTAAAATAAAAATTAAAAGAAGTAAAACACATTAAAATTAGTTTAAAACTTTACAAATAGTTTTTAAGAATTATTTGGTGTAATATTTTATAATTTTTGTATGAATAAAGATATCTTATAATTATTGTATGACTGTCATTATTGTAAGAATAATTATTTGTGTGCGGTTTTTTTGACTCATGTAGATGGATCGGCAATAGATGTACGCTGACCGGCGGTCCAAAGAGTTTATTGACGGCGTGCACTATTTTTTGAGAGTGGCCGAAGCTAACAGGCAAAGGGGTTTTATTTGTTGTCCATGCAATAAGTGTAAGAATCAGAAGGAGTATTCTGCATCCAGGACTATTCATTTCCACTTGTTTGAGTCGGGGTTCATGCCAAGCTATAATTGTTGGACATCCCACGGAGAGCAAGGTGTTGAAATGGAAGAAGATGAAGTGGAAGACGACAATATTCCGGACTTTGCTCAGTATGTTGGATTTGAAGGAAATCAAACGGGCGAGGAGGAAATAGCTGCTGATGGTAACGACGTTGCGGATGATCTTGGTCAGATGTTGCAGGACGCCAGGGAAGACTGCGAAAGTGAAAAGGAGGCCCATAAATTGGACAAGATGTTGGAGGACCACAGAACTTCGTTGTACCCAGGTTGCGAGCAGGGGCACAAAAAGTTGGATACCACTCTGGAGTTATTGCAATGGAAGGCAAAAAATGGGGTTAGTGACAAGGCATTTGGCGATTTATTGAAACTCGTCAAGAACATTCTTCTGGGGGGAAACAAATTGCCCGAGACAACGTACGAGGCTAAGAAGATAGTCTGCCCGTTAGGACTGGAAGTTCATAAGATTCACGCATGTCCGAACGATTGTATCCTATATCGCGGTGAGGAGTATGAGAACCTAGAAGCATGTCCTGTTTGCAAAGCACTACGATACAAGATTAGACGGGACGATCCAGGAGAAGTTGACGGGCAGCTAACAAAGAAGAGAATTCCTGCTAAGGTGATGTGGTATTTCCCTATAATACCACGGCTAAGGCGTTTGTTCAGGAACAAGGGGAATGCTAGAATGTTGCGATGGCACGCTGAAGAGCGTCAACAGGACGGGATGCTGAGACACCCCGCCGATGGTTCGCAGTGGCGAAACATCGACAGAAAATTTAAAGAATTTGGAAAGGACGCACGAAACATACGGTTTGGTTTGAGTACGGATGGCATGAATCCTTTTGGAGAGATGAGCAGCGGCCATAGCACTTGGCCCGTTACGATGTGTATCTACAACCTCCCCCCCTGGCTATGCATGAAGAGGAAGTACATAATGATGCCGATTATTATTCAAGGCCCCAAGCAACCTGGTAACGACATCGACGTGTACCTAAGACCACTGGTCGAAGATCTTAAACAGTTGTGGAAGAAGGAAGGTGTCCCCGTGTGGGACGAGGACAAACAGGAGGAGTTTAACCTACGAGCGCTGCTGTTCGTAACCATCAACGATTGGCCTGCACTTAGCAACCTATCCGGACAGTCCAACAAGGGGTACAAGGCTTCAACTCACTGTATGGATGAAACAGAAAGTACGTATCTTAAGCACTGTAGGAAGGTTGTATACATGGGTCATCGTCGATTCCTTGCAGCAAACCACCCGGTACGGAAGAAAGGCAAGCACTTCGAACATAAGGCCGACCACCGTACGAAGCCTAAACATCGCAGCGGGAAAACAGTGTTTGCTATGGTTAAAGATCTTAAAGTAGTGTTCGGAAAGGGGCCTGGAAGCCAGCATATAGAGAGCGAAGATGGTCACGCGGCGATGTGGAAAAAGAACTCTATATTTTGGGAGTTACCATATTGGGAATTCTTGGACGTACGCCACGCAATCGACGTGATGCACCTCACTAAGAACCTTTGCGTAAACCTTCTTGGCTTCCTAGGTGTATACGGAAAGTCGAAAGATACACTGGAAGCACGTAATGATCTGAAGCATATGGAACAACGCGGCGACCTTCACCCGGAACCAAAGGAGAAAGGAAGCCATTACTTGAGTCCAGCCAGCTACACTCTTAGCAAGGCAGAGAAGGAAAGTATGTTTGAATGCTTGGAGAGCATAAAGGTACCGTCTGGATACTCCACGAATATCAAGCGAATAATAAGCACGAAGGAGAAGAAGTTCACAAACCTAAAGTCTCATGACTGTCACGTGTTGATGACACAACTGCTACCAGTTGTAATAAGGGGTATCCTTCCAGACAATGTCCGGGCAACAATAACAAAGCTATGTGCATTCATGAACGCAATTTCGCAGAAGGTCATCGATCCGGATAGATTAGAAGCCCTTCAGAATGAAGTGGTGCAATGTCTCGTCAGTTTTGAGTTGATATTTCCACCTTCATTTTTCAATATAATGACGCATCTGCTTTGTCACCTTGTGAAAGAGATCCGTATTCTCGGGCCTATGTACCTACACAACATGTTTCCTTTCGAGAGGTACATGGGCGTTCTGAAGAAGTATGTTCGTAACCGTGCTCGTCCAGAGGCAAGCATCGCCAAGGGTTATGGAACAGAGGAGGTCATCGAATTTTGCGTAGAATTTATCGAAGACCTTCGCCCAATCGGGGTACCTGAATCACGCCATGAAGGGAGACTACGGGGAAAGGGAACTCTCGGAAGGAAAGCAATAACGACGGTAGACAACAATTTATTCCGTAAAGCCCATTTCACTGTTCTGCAACACTCTTCATTGGTAGCTCCTTACATCGAGGAGCACTTGGCTCTAGTTCGCGCCAGGAACATCGGTAAGTCCGATGCATGGATTACACGGCATCACATTGATACTTTCCCCGCGTGGCTACGACAACATCTCATGGGTAACGAGTCGATCAACCAACAACTTGCCTTCCTGGCGAGGGGACCGTCTGGGTCGATCGCGACATTCCAGGGATATGAGATCAATGGGTACACATTCTACACGAGAGCCCAAGACATGAAGAGCACGAACCAAAACAGCGCTGTTCGTGTCGATGCCATGGGACACGATGGAACAACTGCCACGTATTACGGTGCCATCGAGGACATATGGGAACTTGACTATGGTCCTCTCAAGGTTCCTCTGTTCCGGTGCCAATGGGTTA